CATCTCTTCGGAAATCTGGCGACCGATGCTGACGTGGATCAGGGAGATGGCATTGTGAAAGACGAGTCTGTTCTGGCGAAGGCTTTGAAAGTGCGCAGTGCTAGTGGTAGAAACGCTTCATTATCATGCAATATGCAATCTCTCATAAAAAAAAACAGACTGTATGTAACCGATACTCTCAGAGAACACGTCAACGCTTTACATCGCCTGACTCTGTTCGCCAAAATCGTGTCTTTGCTCGTGATCGCTTTGGAGCTGGCCGACATTTCAATGTAGAGCGATGAAAGTCGATAATCAATGCCCGCCTGAGCTCTTCATTCCAAAGGATATTGTCGGGCCGAAGATCTTCGTGGAAGATTCCTAAAGCTTCGATTTCCTTATTCGATTTGTTAATATTTTTGAGAAGCCCCGGCGTCAGCTCCATCGTTGCTGTGCTTTCGCCCCCCCAGCCCATAACGAGCATGTGACGAATCTCTCCAGCCCCATGAAGAAAATAAATTTTTTTCAAGTCGATTGTACCGAGGAAAACAGGCACAGCGGATGCTTGAGCCTTCCGCAGGACTTGATATACCTGCGCCTCGCGGGAGACTTCTTTCCAAAGACCCGACGTGGTCCCTTTCCCAACGACAACATAGCCATATTTATCACAAATGAGTTTAAATGGCGCGCCGTATGCCCCGCAATTTCCAAGGGGCGTACATCGATCAATGTTTTCATCCAGTTGTGCTTTGAGCAACCCCACTAAATCCTCCGCGGTGATGGAATGTTTCATGACATCTTGGCCCCGACGATGGAGCTTCATGTTTGGGCAACTGTCGTCTAGGATACCTCCAGTCTGCAACCCGAGTAAGCATCGTTGGGTGCAAAATTGCGCATCATGGCGTTTGGAATGGCCGCCTTTGTCTTTCGCGGCCTCGATTTGACGAGCTGCTCGTTGCGCAGAAGGGGAAGATCTGATCTGGCTGAAGCCTCGTTTGCGTCCCGTCGCTTGATTCGAGTCGGAGCCTGACGAGTCTGGCGACTGCGTCCGGTGGCGCACATCCGAGGGCGCACAGCTGGCTTGAGACCTCGTGCGCACACGGCGACCCGCTGTCGGAGATTCCTGTAGAGGCGACGATGGTTGGTAGTCCGAACTCGATTCTGGACTCACATACTCTGGGTCGGTACTGTCGGATTGCGGAGAGATTTGCTGCAAGACTTCCTTGGGAGTCTGAGAAAGAGCGTGGTCGAAGCTCGTTGTCCACAAATGGAGCCGCGACTGTACAGTATTTCTCCATTCCTGGCCACGAACAGGGGAATGGAACGCCATCAAACACAGACACAGAACCCTAGCGATGGAGGTCTTCGGCTCTTGGAGACTCTGTTCGCTGTTAGGATCACAGAAAAAGTAGTACACTGTGCTAGGATCGTCGTATGGAACGCGGAGAAGGATACGAGCGACCCCATTCGTTACATAAGAGTACTCGAGTCCCTCCTGGATCATCACATGGTATTCCTGGACAATAGCGGAGCAGACGAGCCGCTCTGCATCGTATTTCAATTTTTCTGTGGGATCCGTAGGGGTTTTATTAGCTCTAACCATGCATTTCCATAGATCCATTTCCCTGAGCCCCACGCGAAGGGCTTCGACAGAAAGCTTGTGGGGCGGCTTGTATTCGACCGTAGTGAGGAGAGTGTTAGTGTTGCCGTTGACTCGGTTGATACAAAACTGATCAGGTCGGGGGTTGCGTATGCTTGATGGTTGGTTTGCATTTGCTTCGCTACCGCCTTTTGGATTGATAAATTTGGTGTGATTGTCGAACCAAATTCCGTCTCCAAGTCCGAACTCGTCTCGGGCAGCGTCGATTTTGCATAGCTCTGCAATGATATCACGGACGTGATCTTCCACGGCGATTCGCTCGTAGTTCTCGAGACCTTGCTCACTACTAATTGGGCGGAGACCGAATCGTCTAGCACAATCCTCAAGCGCAATCAAGGGGGTAAACAATCGTGCTGGGGCTTCCTCGGTTGGCTGGAGGTAGTTACACACAGAGCTATATATCTTTTGCTGTCGAGATGAACAATCGGTCCATAGTGCTAGTCGTGTCGGACAGTATTTTCCGATGGGAAGAGGTATGGTCCCTGTAGTCGAGCGAGATGGTGTTTCGAATCTCAATGGTCGGGAAAGTAAGCTATGGCAGAGGTGTAGGAGTTCTGCAAATGTCGTTTGTCGATTA